CCAAAACAGTGAGAAATATTATAGAGTTAAAATAATACAAGATATATATATATATATATATAAAGTTCACAGAAATCAATTTTATATCAGAACAAATTAATGTATGTGATTTTTTTCTCTCAAGTAATCCGAACACTTTTTTATTTTTACCTTCCAAAGAGTTTCGTCTTTTCATCAAAAGATGGCACAGTGGTAGGCATTACAATATTTTTTTAGTTTTCATAAATTTGATGTCTGCAGTAATATAAATTATGACGAGCACAAAACAAGAGAGAGATATTCTCCAATTAAAAATAAAATTAAGACATTGGTATTGTAAATTATGTATGGGAAACATAATTTATTACTTTAAGTTAAACATAGCAATCATTTTTTGACGATCTTTTCTTTTACCTGTTTGTTTAATCAATTTCTCTTGTATACGTGCATGTGCTACACAATGTTTTAAATATTGTGAAAATTTTAGTTAAACATAGCAATCATTTTTTGATGAAATTTTTTTTACCTGTTTGTTTAATCAATTTCTCTTGTATACGTACATGTGCTACACAATGTTTTAAATATTGTGAAAATTTTAGTTAAACATAGCAATCATTTTGTGATGAAATTTTCTTTTACCTGTTTGTTTAATCAATTTCTCTTGTATACGTACATGTGCTACACAATGTTTTAAATATTGTGAAAATTTTAGTGTGTTCCTGCAAAACATAAATCAAGAAATATAACTGTCATAAAGTCTGTTACCTGCCTAACATTGACTCTGTTAACAGCAATGTGAGAGTTATCATTCTGTTAAAGTGATTCACTTAAATATAGCTGTGAGGTATCTGTGATTACATTTTGTTGATTCACTTACAGGTTGCTGATGCGTATGTTGACGTTAATATAATTTGTCCAAGACATTACACCGTAACCATCAAATGATTGCTTAAAATTCTCAGACGTAAATGTCTCCTTAAGTTGGCCGAATAAAGGTCAAATGAAAAACATGTCTCCTCCCTTGCTAAAACAGTAATAAAAAACATTTCTCTTCCCTTGCAAAAGCAGTAATGAAAAACATGACTCCTCCCTTGCTAAAACAGTAATAAAAAATGTCTCTTCCCTTGCTAAAACAGTAATTGATCTGTATAACACACTGCCCAAATACAGATAAAAATAAAAAGTATAATTCATATACTTAAATAAATGAAAAAATTCGTACACATACATTAAAACATATTTATCAAGATGTCGAATCATGCAATATAATGTGCTTTTAAAATAAATTTAATTCGTTGTTGTTAAGTCCAAATCTGAGTTACTTATTTTCGCTTTGTAGGGAACGAACCCCGAATTTTAACACTATAAGCCTTTAAGCTTGAATCCGAGGGTTCAAATTCTCGTCCTGTTGCATAAAAAAACGTTCTTCGCACTTTGGGCTCCTCGAAGGCTTAACACTAACGCTACAAATCGGGTTATGTTACACCCAAGGTGGGAAAAGCACAGATATTCCATTGTGTATCTTGTGCTTAGTAACAAACAAACAAAACGATGCACGTTAGGCTGAGGTTGAGCTATATTAGTGACAGTCAAATCCTGCTATTCGATTAGAGTGGTCACAAACTCGGTTGACAATGGAGATGATTAGCTGTCTACCCTCTAGCCCATCACCTTAGAATTAGAGACTGCAAGCGTAGGTGGCTCTCGGGCAGCTTTGGGCTTACACCAACAAGCAACAACAACTTACTAGGGCGCCATTTCCAAGTTACAGATTAATTATTGTTTAATAAAATGTTAAAACTATGATAAAATATTCTCAAACGAACATCCTTTTGTTCTTACTATTACAAAACTAAATATATATATATACTCCAAAAAATAATTCCTTAATTGTTCTAAGATTCTGATAAACATAGCTATAAAAATGAGTCTTGTAGGTGCTGGACTTGTTTAGCCTAACAACATACCACAGCGCATGTTTTCAACGTTCAACTCTCTGTTCAAACAACTTCATTGTAATGTAAGGACATCTAAAAGGAATGATGGCAACTGAGATATGGCTTTATTAAACATATCATGACGTAATCAATGGAAATTTAATGGAAGCGGTTAAAACAGCGATTTTTGCGAGTTAAAAATTTTGTATTGTTGAAAAGCGCTTTCACGAAAAAAAAAAGAATGAAAGGAAGTTTTCGGCCAAAATAAAATATTCAGTTGTCTCAAAATTGTTATTACAATTTAAAACAATTGAAACACACATATTACGATTTAAAACAATTGAAACACACATATTACGATTTAAAACAATTGAAACACACATATTACGATTTAAAACAATTAAAACACACATGTATTACGTTAAAAAAACTGAAAAAAATATCGCATTGAGGAAGATATTATATACATAAAAGTAGTTTTGGTAACTCTAGATATTAATCGCTGTATCATTATGTAACACAACAAAAGACGATCAATATTTCTATGACGAATTCATATTTAATATATGATCCCTGGGAATCATCTCAGCAGCCTGGGAACATCTCTGAATATAGAAAACGTCTTCTCGAGTTCTAGAGTAGTCATAACCTGTGAGACATCGACATTTCTATTGGTTGCTGTGCTTTCGACACCAACGCTTTAAATTATATTATTATGCTTGCATCTAGAAGTTCTGAGGTTTGAAACGTTCTCTCTCTTTCACTCTCTCTCTCTCTCTGAAGAAAGTATTTCTTAAAAAATTGATGAATGATATTTTTAATTATTCCTGGTCATTCTCAAGAAATGAAAATAAAATTAAAAGAGAAAAGATTTTCAGTTGCGTATAAATAAATAAGTCTGGACTCCTGTTCGACAGATACATATAAAAATATTTCAGCTCTTTTTTTTTTTGTTGCGTTTTCGTTTTACTTAACGCTCAGGCAAAATGACTGTTTATTGTCTTTAGTAGATGTGTATTAAACGTGACATTTAATATGTTGATATATTATACTTTAATCTAATAACAACTTTTATAAGGCTGGTACAAAATCAGTGGTGGAAGAAGTGTTCTACCTACTGGTTTGCTGGCTTATAATAAACATATGCGAAACATTATTATTTTAACTTACTAAAGATGGCGCTCCAAAAGATGCTTGAAACCGTACTTGCTTATCACGTGATATTATTAAGAATTATAATTAAAATTGTCATAGCTCATTCTATCACACATCCATTAGTAGAATTATTACAATTACGTAATGTTAACGCAGGGAAAAAAAATCACGTCTAACGTATACGTAATACACGTTCGAGAATATTTAGCTTCATGCTACAATCTATCATGTCCAATCTCACCTGCAGTGTAGTCTTGAAATAAAAGACAGACACCATGTCGTGTGACTTCTAATGATACATTTTTGTATCCTTAGGATGAACTGAAATTTATTGTTTCAAAATCACCTTCTAATGCTACTTACTTATTGTTTTTTTTATCAGAAATGTTTGTTTTTTGTTTTGAATTT